GGGGCCCGTGCCCCTCGGTGGGGCTCCCCCTTGGTGGACCGGCCTCCTCCCCGGCGCCCGGGCCCCCGGCGGAGAGGCCGCCCCTGGCTACGGACGAGAAGATCCTCAACGGCCTGTTCTGGTACTTCTCGGCGTGCGAGAAGTGCGTTCTGGCGCAGGTGTGTCGGGCCTGGCGCCGCGTGCTCTACCAGCCCAAGTTCTGGGCGGGCCTCACGCCGGTGCTGCACGCCAAGGAGCTCTACAACGTGCTGCCCAGCGGCGAGAAGGAGTTCGTCAACCTGCAGGGCTTCGCCGCGCGCGGCTTCGAGGGCTTCTGCCTGGTGGGCGTCTCCGACCTGGACATCTGTGAGTTCATCGACAACTACGCCCTCTCCAAGAAGGGCGTCAAGGCCATGAGCCTCAAGCGCTCCACCATCACCGACGCGGGCCTGGAGGTGCGAGCAGGGGACCGGCGCGCGGCCAGCGGAGAGTGCAGCCCTGCGGGGGTCAGAGGGAGGGGCGGAGACTGCGAGGAGGGGCGGGGATGGGAAGGCTGAGAGGAGGGGCTGTGTGAGGGGTGGGACCAGGCTGATAGGGGCGGGACCCGGAGAAGAGGGGCTGATACGTAGGGTGCGGCGGGGCCTGGAGGGGAGGGGAGGAGAAGCTGGACCTTCAGTGGGGTCCCGGGAGCCCGGTGGGGTCTGGCACGGATAGACGGAAGAACTAGGGCCAGGCCAGGAGAGGCAGGGCCAAATGAGTAGAGTAGGGTGCGGGGTGGGGGTGTGTGTTTGAAGGTGAGAGGTGGAAGGGTGAGAGGAGGAGTGGGAGTGAGGGGGTGGGGGTGAGCATTAGGGTGGAAGATGAAGGTGGGGGTGAGGGTAGGGTGGTGTGGGGGTGAGGAGCAAATGAGGAGGCATGTGGGTGGCCCTCGGGGAAGCCCACAGGTTCAAAGTAGCTGCAGGTGGTGATTTTGGGAAGATTGGGATTATGGGGTAAGAGAACCCAGCGCAATATGAAAATTGGTCCCCAGCTGAAAAATGAAGGGGCTCCAGTGAGACCATAGTTAAAGCATTCATCCCTGAACAAAAATACCAGCGGTTCAAATCCACAAGGAGTAAGATATGGCAGTCTGCTTCTGTAAAGATTTACAGCCTTGGAAGCTCTGTGGGACAGTTCTACTCAGGCCAATAAAATGACTATCAATAGGAATTGACTCTATAAAAGGCAGTGGGCTTGAAGGTTCTAAAATGATTGAGGAATTCAGGATGGTGAGACAGCATCCAGGCAAGTCCAGGGCATTGGGCAACTGCTCAGGTCTCTCACACAAACGAAGCCACGCCTGGAGGCAAGGTGAGGAGTGAGAGGGAGCTGCAAAGGGTCCCTCAGGAAGAGGTGAGCCCAGAGCTTGGACTCCAGGCACATTAGGAGCCCACTGCCCAGACAGTGAGTTTGGCCAGGCCTTGCCTTCAGTCTCAGAATTAGATTATGTAACATGTTGTTACAGGCCATCAAATCAATTCCGACAATGGCTTAGTGTGTTACATGTTGAGCTGCTAATAGAAAGATCAGCTGTTCAAATCCATCCTAGTAGAAAGATAGGCAGTCTCTTCCCATAAAGATTTACAGTCTCAGAAACCCAATGGTAGGTTACGATGACTCAGAATTACTACTTTTCTCAGTAGTAGTGGTAGCAACCCTATAGGGCTTTTAAAAACCCCACAACAAAACAAAAACACAAAACAACCAAAACATTTTTATGAATTTTACAAATTCAAGACTCAAGTTGCAATAATGGAGGATGCTATGGGCAAAATCTTAAATTATCCAGAAAATATCAAAAGAAGATGGAAGGAATACACAAAGTGACTGTACTGAAAGGAAATGGCTGACACGGAACCATTTTAGGAATGAACACACAATCATGAACTGAAAGTAATGGAGAAGGAAATTCAAGCTGCACTAAAGAACTGGAAAAATATAAGGGCCAAAGAATTGGTGGAATACTAGTTGACCTGTTCGAACAAATAGATGCAGCCCTGAACATGCTCAACAGATTGTGCTAAGAAATCTAGAAGATTTCTAGAAGAAATCCATATTTGTTCCCATTTCCAAAATAGATGATCCAAGGAGCTCTAGTGGCCTAGTGGCAAGAAGCTACACTGCAATCTCAGAGGTACGCAGTTCGAATCTACCAGATGCTCTGCTGGAGAAGGAGGGGCAATCTCTTCCTGTACCAGTCAGATCCGATTTGACGGCACACACACACACAAAATAATTAATAATAATAATAATAATAACAATAACAATAAACCAC